CGCGCCAGAGGCAGAACTTCCAACGATTATCAACCCCTAGTTGATGGTCTCAATGGTAGACTAACTATATTACCTAATGGATCTTTATGGACAGCATCTGCGGGACCGCAAGATGAAGGTCATTATCTTTGTCGAGCTAACAACGGTATTGGGTCTGGATTAAGCAAAGTGATTTATGTTTCTGTACATGGTGAGTAAATATTTGTTAGAAAAATATCTAATTAGATATATTTCTCTATCTTTGAAATTTTCACAGAACCCGCGAGATTCGAATTTCAAAGTAAAAACGTGACGATTCGTCGTGGCGAATCTGTCACTTTAGATTGCACGGTAATTGGTGACAATCCGATAGAAGTACAATGGATGCATAATAGCGATCGATTGGATACGAATAGTCACAGGCTTAGTATCAGTCAAATAAAAACTGACAACGGTTTGAAATCTCAATTATCTATCAGTAGTAGTGATCGACAAGATTCTGGTGTCTATAGATGTACTGCTAATAATGCATATGGTAGAAGCGAGCATCTTATCTATCTAGCTGTACAAGGTAGTAATTTTTCTTTAAATCAAATTATTCTTATAATGAGTCAAGAAAATAAAAATCCATTTATGTCTATTGAACAGAGAGACCCGATCCACCTGCTTCTCTTGAAGTCATAGAAATTGGATCACGATCTATAAGATTGTTATGGAAAAAGGCTTTTGATGGAAATAGTCCTATAAGAAATTACGTCATACAATATCGATCTCTTAGTCATGGTATAAACGACGATTGGAATCCTGCGAAAACTCACAATGTTTCTTACTCACCAGGAAATCCTAACATTGCAAGCAATGCTATACATCCAACGCAAAATGGTATCTATCTGTTTTATCACGTATCTCTTTGTGTACAATTTATTGTACACAAAATACTTGTTCGATAGGCCTGTCACCGTTTGAAACAACGAGCGACGATCAAGAGGTAGCTCTGGTCGGTGGTCTTCATCCCGCAGTCACCTATACTTTTCGAGTATTCGCAATAAATTCTATCGATGCTAGTGCTCCTACTGAACCTGTAGTAGCTAAGACTCAAGAAGAAGGTATGCGAACAACAAAAATATCGATTATTTGAAAAACAAAAGATAAATAATAACAATTTATTCCCTAATATTACATGTTATTTATCTTTAAAACAGCACCTACTGAACCTCCACAAAATATCAAAGTACAATCGGCAGGACCTGGAGAGCTTGTAGTTAGCTGGCAAGTAAGTATTTAACATGAAATCTTTTCAAAACATTTAAGTAAAATATTCTAATCTTAGGATATCTTTCTAGCCACCTCCTAAGGAATCATGTAATGGAGACCTTTTGGGCTACATAGTAACTTGGTCGGAACATTCATCCTCGACATCGGGTGTAAATCAAAGCAAAAGCCTTACGGTGAATGGCTGGGCAACCACGAAAGTACAGCTCACTGGTCTGAGAAAATTTACCAAGTATGACATATCAATCAGGGCTTTCAATAGCATAGCTAGTGGCCCGAGTAGTGCGCCTATAGTTGGAACTACTCAGGAAGGAGGTAAAGTATCCGAAATAAAATGTTAACAAAAATAGAAATATAATGGATCAAAAAATTTAAGCTAAAATTGATCGAATCTAACATAGTGCCAGAAACACCTCCTACACAAGTCACATGCGTTGCATTGTCTTCTCAATCCGTTAAAGTATCTTGGAACGCACCACCTCCTCATCAACATGGTGGAATTATTCAAGGATATAAAGTTTATTACAGACCAGTGCCTACTGATAACAGTGAGTGATCCAAAGGAAATGACAATTTTAAAAAGTAAAAAATTTTTAAACTAAATCATTAATTATATCATTTCTTCAGTGGATATTTCAACGGTGGGTGAAGTAAAACGAACATCAAGCATAGAAACTTATCTGCACACCTTGTATAAATATACGAACTACTCGATCAGAGTACTGGCATACACGGGAGCTGGCGATGGTGTATTGAGCCAACCAATTTATTGTATGACAGAAGAAGATGGTAAACTATATCAATATATATTTTAACGATAATATCCGACATGAAATTGACATGTTTTCTAATCAACAGTTCCTGGACCTCCAGCAGGCATCAAAGCTTTAGCATTAACTGCAGAAAGTATACTGGTATCATGGTTACCACCTTTACAACCTAATGGCAATGTATCCAAGTACACCATTTACAGCAGAGAAGCTGGTTCCAGTAATCACAATACTCATACTATGCATGAACCTCCATCATCACCAACTGATACTCTTACCATGGAGTTACGTGGTCTAGTTGAAAGGTGCTAATCACAAAACTTAAATAATTCATTTAACATTCAAACGCATAATTTTCCGTATAATGTTTGATACATTTTAGACAGCTATACGAATTCTGGGTATCCGCAACGACTGGCCTTGGAGAAGGGGAAGCAACTACTATAGTAACGCAAACGACAAATACCAGAGCACCTGCAAGAGTAGCTTCGTTTTCGCAACTCTTAAGAAGGGCTGTCAAATCATCAATCACGTTATCTTGTTTGGTTGTTGGCAATCCTACACCGCGCCCAATTTGGACTTACAGAAATGGTCAAGTATCAACTGGCAGGCACTACGAATATACGCCTGATGGTCATCTCCATATATGTGGTCTGTTATTAAAATACTAATTGACAATCAACAAATCGTAAAAAACGACATTAATTATTTCGCATTTTAGCGCTAGAACAATCTGTAGCTGGAAATTATTCTTGCTCTGCTAATAATCAATTTGGTGAAGATTCTATAACTTACACATTAGTAGTGGTCATGCCACCGAGATCACCAACCTTGGAACTTCAGTATACAACAACAAATAGCATAAGACTTCGATGGAATCATCCTGACAATGGTGGTGCTACTATTCAAGGTATCGTTTAAAAAAAAAATAACCGGTTTAAAAATATCAAATAAAAGAAATCAAATAAAACGTATATTCGTTATCCATAGGATATGTGTTAAGTTACAAGAGAGATCAAGGTGGTTGGGAAGAAATCGCATTATCTCCGGAACAAACCGAGTTCATACTAACCGGCTTAAAATGTGGATCATCATATCTGGCTCATCTAACTGCTCATAATCGTGTTGGCACTGGAGATCCAAGTTCATTGATAAGTGCAACAACTAAAGGAACTGGTACAAAATTATATCTTATAAGAAATACAACAAATTTTACGTATTCTTCATCACTTAACATCATTTTAGCTCCTTTGCTACCGAAAGAACGAGATATCATCTCAGCGAATGGAACTTCCGTAAAACTAAACTTATTATCCTGGCCAACCGGAGGATGTCCGATTCAATACTACACTGTTGAATATCGTAGACGTATTAATACCGAATTATGGATCCTAGTAGCTAGTAGGGCTACCGAAAATCTTGTAATAAGAGATTTAAAAACTGCCTCATGGTATAGCTTGCGTTTAACTGCACATAACGATGCTGGATCTACGCAAACTCAAATGGAATTTGCGACGACTACGTTAAGTGGAGTAAGTATTGGACCACCAAATGATCTGATCATGGAAGACGATGTAAAGAAGAGTATACCAAACCACAAAGTACTCTATGTCGTCGTACCATTAGTCTGTGCTATCATCCTCATCATATCAGCTATCATCCTAGGATATGTCATGCTCAAACGTAGCGGCAGGTGAATACCAATGAAACCATGTATCTTTCGCAGGAAGAATAATTACAATAATAAATAAACTCTATGCTTCTCTAGGTCCAATTATCTGGGGGAGATTCTGCCTGGTCAACAACAACAGCAACAAACTGGACTTGGTTTGGTGCAACAACAACAACACCAACAACATCACCATCTATCAAGTTGTATGTCTACGGTGCAACTAAAGTCTACGGCAGAACGAGACAACAGACGTAATCACCAAGTATACACGAGTTCGCCGGTTAAACAAGAAAATCACAAATCGAATGATCATGGATCAGGTACGATCTCATTAACTATATGATATTCTGACTCTAATCAAATTTCTTTCAATATTTTTTTATTTCTTTACTTAAACGAAATGATTTTTTTTTATGAGATCACATGCAATATTTTATTCGCAGAAATGTATGAAATCAGCCCATACGCAACGTTCAGTGTACCAGGAAGAGAAAATCGTTCTGTGACAACAGCAACGTTAGATTATACGATGCAATTTAAAACATTTGGTCATCTCGAGAATGAGGACATCAATACTATCGATTATGAAAGATCCAGCGTAGATTTTGAAAGGTAATCAATCCCACACTTCCTCCTTCTTCTTCTTCTCCTTCTTCTTCTCTTTCGCCTTCTCCTTTTCCTTCTTCTTCTTTTTTTCTTTTTCTATTTCTTTTTCTTCTTCTTCTTCTTCTTCTTCTTTTCCTTCTTCATCTTCGTTTTCGTCTTCATATACGTCTTCGTCTTCATCTTCCTCTTCGTCTTTGTCTATCTTTTTCTCTTTTTTCTGGCTCTTCTTTCTCTCTCTTTGGTTCCTCCTTCTGGTATTGCTTTCACGTACAGGTCCAAAACTCCTAGGTGGCATAAACAACGATACTTCCCGAGCATCGCTGAAGCTGAGAGCAAACTTCGTTCGAGTCGACAAGGTTCCGGTAGTGATACTTCCGGTAGTCCTTGTGGCGAATGTGCCGGGCCTAGTTACAGAGTGCCGGTAAAACCTTGTAGAGGTAATCTTTTAATTACAATATTAATAAGAATAATTATTTTGAATTATTTAATAATATATTAGATTTACTAACGAATTTTTCGGTTTAAGTAGAAAATTATTTTTAAATACTTTCTTTTGAAAAAATTAATTTTATTAATTTTATAAATAAAATTTATTTTCGTAAAAATTATTTTTCAATATAATTATCTTCTTTTAAAATAATTTCTAAATTAAAAGAAAAAAAAATTATTTACATAAAATAGGAATAAAACTTTTTCGATAGATCATTTTGATAGTTCCAGGATTTTTATGAAGTTCAATTCAAAATATCGAGAAAAAAACAATATATAATAACGAATTAATAACGTTTGCAGATGTATTTTCACGAGGTGTGGAATCGAGCACGGAATCTAACAACGAAGGTTCACCATCGCTCGCGAGACGACGAAGCCGACAACCGAGCCGGTCCACTCGCAGGTAGCCAAGGTTTGTTTGTTTCCACTAGCACTCACTCCTGACTCTTCGATCCTGATCTCTCACGGTCTCATAAGTTTCATGTCGATGCGAAGGAGATGTGGAAAAATATTATCGATTCTATTACTTTTCTTTTCTGTTTTATGTTTTTTTTTCCTTCTTCTTAATCACTTCAACGAAAGTACTAAACATCAATCCATTCATTTAACATTTAATGAAATTTTTCTCTCGACAAAAACAAATTCAATCGTTTTCCACGTCTCCCGTTACAAAAACGAAACACGGTCCAAGCCTCAGCCTCGATTCAACCTGCGCGTTCTTCTCGTTATTTTATTTTAATCATGACAAATTGCAAAAAAAAAAACATAAAGGAAAAACTTGAACGATAAGATTAAAACGTGCAGGCAGTCTCGAGGATAAAAAGAATCGTCATTCACGCATACGCATATCATTCATCATTCCATTACTAACACGCGCTAATAAAAAATAAAATAAAATAAAATAAAATAGCACGAATTAGGTTCACGTCGTTGCACCCCGCCTTGGAGTCTTATCTCGTACATACAGCCATCTGTATTTGACCATTCTGGTCAGCCATCAATTCTAAAAAAAAAAGAAAGAACAAAAAATGCAAAAAAAAAACAATACCACCGACTACCAATTATGTTTCTCTCTCTCTCTCTCTCTTTTTCTTATTTCTCTCTCTCTCTCTCTCTCTCTCTCTCTCTTTCTCTCTCTCTCTCTCTCTCTCTCTCTCTCTCTCTCTCTTTTTCTCTCTCTCTCTTTCTCTCTTTCTCTTTTTCTGGTTATAAAAAAAAAAGAAAATCTTTTTTTCAAACTCGTTGCGTTTAGAATTTTCTCCACATTTTTCCCCTTTTCTGATCTGTTATACGTAGTTCGGTGGAGGACATGACGCTGTTGCCGCCAAGCGGGTTCAGCGACAGCCGTGAATTGAGCGACGTGGAGTGCGATCGTGACCGTGATCGTGATCATGAGCGTGAGCGTGATTGGCAGGGCCTGTCCGTCGGGGCCCGCCATGGCGGCAGCTTGGGTAGACTCCCAATTGAAGCCGTCGAAACTATGCTCGCTAGGTATCGACACGAACCTCCGTAGACCGTAGTAAGCTGACACGATGTCAAATCTCTCTATATTCGAGTTCGCTTATATGAATTGCGTCGCGTTATTATAATTACAATTAGCCAAAATGAAATATTCGCTAAGAAATAACAATTCTATCTTTCTCTTCTCGATCTTTCAATAGTATTTGACACTTGATCGATCGTCCAACGATCGGAAAGGTTAAAAAGAAAAAAAAAAAAAGAAAAAAAAGAGGAAAAAAAGAGAGAAAAAATTGTTACATTGCGTTTCTTATATCATCGCAAGTGCAAAACTATTTCAAAGATCGATGCCTTTGACTTGTTCAGATCCAATTTTATGCAATAAATCCTTACTGATCCTAAATTTTATTTATAAAATCCTCTAATTAAACCCACAATGATACATATTTACACGAGGCTGATTGTGCACGCAATATTGTTTGTGCGTTAATAACACATGTTAATGATAAAATAGATCCTTGAAATAATTATTTCTACGATGCAGGTACCAACAAAGGAAGGAACAAGAGAGACAGGAGTTCACCATACACGTATGATCCAGATTCGTTGGCACGACCAAGAATCTTCGTGGGACGATGTGATGAATCATCATCGTTGAAATTTCATCCTTCTTTAGGAAAAAAAATAATTCGTCGGCCGGGTGTCTCTCCGATTCCCCCTCGGATGATAGTAAAATATAGTATAGTTTCGATGTAAAAGATGATACTTTTTAATTATCGTTCGTAAAATTCGAGAGAGTGAGAAAAAAAAGAAAGAAAGAAAGAAAGAAATAAGGAAAGAAAGAGAGAGAGAGAGAGAAAGAGACAGAGAGAGAAGTATGACAACGTGCGAATCAAGTGCAATTCGACCGTTTATATTTGCAACGTGAGAACAAGAGAAAAAAAGAAAGAAAGAAGAAAAAGAGAGAGAGAAAGAGAGATAAAGAGAGAGAGAGAGAGAGAGAGAGAAAGTTAGAGAGAGAGAGAGGTAAAGAAAAAAAGAATTAAAAAAAGACGATCTTCGTATCATTACTGCCGTCACGTTGATACATTTTTTAATCTACATACATCACACACACACACACACTCACACACACACATACACACACACATATATTTTACGTAAATCTCTATTCGAAATGAGTAAGAACGCGCGAATTTAAAATGCGCGAGTATACTTAAGACGAGCAATGCGATCTGGAAAGTATCAAGGTGACTTTAAAAATGAATAGACTGTCTTTTGTTTGTAATTTACATTTGCTACTAACGATTTAAAAAAAAAAAGAAAAAGAGAAAAAAGAAAAGAAAAAGAAAAAACGGAGAGAAAAAAATAAAAAAAGCATAAACATAAATAATATATCGTCTAATATTTCATCGCCGTTATATACTATATATATCGCGCGACGAGATCAATTTTCATTTTCTCGAATCTATCCGCAGGAGAATAATTTTTCCAAATATACGCGAGGGTGGGTGGGTGTGTGTATGTATGTATGTATGTATGTGTATACCGATGATATGTTTATCATCCTCATGACGACGATCGATCGATCGAACGCGTCCTGTAGATGTTAGAATATGGCCAGGCCATCTCTTTATTGTACAATTATAAATTACGCTATTACAATAATAATAATAATTACAATAATAATAATAAAAATAATAATAATAATAATAATATTAATAATAATAATAATAATAATAATAATAATAATAATAATAATAATAATAATAATAATAATAATAATAATAATAAAATATCGATATATTCATATGTCTGAATTCTGTATAGTTTTATCGCGTTTCTTCGTTTTTACTGCCACAAAAAGACGAATGTAAAAGATATATCGATTATTTAATAACACAATACTCGTCATGGCGTTAAGACGAAGCTAGAAAGATTGATGATAATAATATAATTGTCGAGTTAAGGTAAAGCTAAAGTGTAAATAAAAAAAGAAAGAAAAGAAAATAAATATGACAAATTTTCGAACGCAATAGACACGGAAAAAAGAAAGAGAAAGAGAGAGACAAATAAAAAAAAAAGCAAGCAAGAAAGACGATAATGCACTTGTGAATTTCTCTTAATGCGACTTTCACTTTACGATTTGAATTTTGTTTCTTAGCATTCTTCACGATGAATGACTCCCATAAAATAAAAAGAAAATCTGAATGCTAACCGATTACGTTAATTTCCGATTATGAACTTTGTTATAAAAAGAAAAGAAAGAAACAAAAAAAAATGAAGCGAAAGAAAAAAAGAAGAAATGAAACGAAACGAACGAACAAAACGATCATGATCATGTCAAAGGTAATTTGTAGGCGTATCGATAGTACTTCTATCTTTGTATGTATGTACATACAAAACGAATAGGATCCTACGAGTCTATGTGAACTGTCAAGCGTATACATATATATAGTGTCTTGAAAAGAAAAAAAAAGAAATTAAAAAAAAAAAAAAGAAAGACAAAAAATAATAACTCATAAAACGAATATGTGAAAGTTTATCAAACTGAAAAATGCCATTGAATTTGTAGCGACCGACATGAACGACTTCGAAAGCATTGCACAACATTATGGCCAATTAATTATACATATTTAATATACATATATATATATATATATATATACACATATACATATAAATATTCGGTCCTCCGGTTTATTGCTGCGACAAAGTGAGACTGAGGCGAACTAATTACGCTTATTAGTTCATTTCTGCCAAAGGATCCTTCAAATTTGCTCGTCTGTGAGGAATTCGCATTCTATAATAATGGAGGCATGCTCTGTATTATTTATGATGTATATCCTTTGCTTTGCGAAAAAGACAAAGGAAAAAACAACATAAAAAAGAAAAAGAGAAAGAGAAAGAGTAAGAAAGAGAGAGGAAGAGAGAAAGAGAGAGAGAGAGAGAGAAAAGACTCGCAAATGCGCGTAATAAATACAAAATACAAACTGCCAAAAATAAAAAATAAAATAAAAGATCAATCGACAAGACAGGGTGAATGATACTTATCGAATTAAAAAATACATCCTCCTGAATGTCGATACTATACAAATTTTATGTTCAAACACGCAGATTATATCTGTATGTATATGAAAATTACAGTTCCTTCGTTTTTTCGAAACTTTTCATCTATAAATATCTTAGTATATCTATAAGCGTACTATCAACTGTATGTGCTCCTATTTTTATTTTATTTATTTATTTATTTATTTATTTATTTATTTATTTATTTATTTATTTATTTATTTATTTATTTATTTATTCATTTATTTATATTATTACTTTTTTCTTAACGACAAGTCTGATAATATACTCTCGATATACTATACTTTGAGATAGTTTTATCGACCAATTTATATATTATATAGATATGTACACAATATACAGCGAATAATATTCAGTATATCGAAAAATAAGACGATTTCCTCATTCGCTCTTCATCCTCGTCCAAGATCGCCAAAACGAAATCGTATTAAACTTTGATATACTTTGAGTATAAAAGTCTTTTGTTTTCTAATATTGACTTCCCTAAACGTAAAACTTTCATATCGTAGCGTATTACAGAGTATGCCTCTTACATGTTTTAAAGCGCCATGTATGATAAATAGAAATTAAGAAAACATCGATTAAAATAAAAAATAAAATAAAAAAAATAATAAAAAAAAAAGAAAGAAAATTAAGCTAAGTTTTATCGAGGGGAACGACGAGAGGAACCACAGACATCTCTGCAGATGGTGCTCAATTATAATAAATGATTAATTATAAGATACTATAACGAAAGAATGTTGTTATTATTTTCTAGAAAGTACTTTGTAGATACGATTCCATATTGACGATTTCGATTTCGTACGAATTCCTTCGTATTTTAATATTTATCATGAACGATATGCGTAGCGATGTAATGTCCTTCAATTCCTTTTCTTTGTTTCTGTTTTTTCTTTTTTTCCTTTTTTCTCTAAAGCGAAATTGTAAACTTCACATTTAATAAATCCTATATGGGTACATATACCTGTATGCGTATTACGATCGCGTCTAACGTGAAAACAAAACAAAAATAAAAATAAAAAAAAGATCTGTGACATAGCGTAGCTATGACGGACGAATAAAAACTAGTTATACACGAAACACTTCTCCGAAATTTTTCTTTTTTAACCTATCTCTTATTATATCTGTAATGAAAGGATTAAGATTGTTGTAAAAAAAGAAGAAAGAAAGAAAAATTATATCTCATATCTTTCAGTAAAATATCAATGATGACAATGATCGAAGAAAACGTAGTTTTATTCAACATATGTATATATGTATTTACTTACGCGATGAGTGTTATGTAGTATGCATAAAAATACAATGTTTACCACACCAAGGATCAACTGTAACTGAAAGTAAAAGTCCAGGTAAGTCGATAATATATCGATTTGATAACAACGTTAGAAACATTGTTTGTTTATACTTTGTGCCATTATCAAGTGTGTGCTATTATCACCGAAAACGAATACAATTATGAATATATGATTTTAATAAGTTTAGGATAAATTTTAATAAGTTTAAGATTACTGAAATTTATGATAAATATATATTATACTATATATAAATGTATAGAATGATATAATAGAATAAATTTTGTAAAATCTGTTTTTCGAAATTAATCACTGAGATTCATGTTTAATGTTTTAAAGAGCAATCAAAAGTTACGTTTAACAAAATTTCTTATAATTCGTCTAAGGTACATGATTATTATTATTTATGCTATCGGAGAATGTTATTAACATTAAAATTAACTTACAAAAGAGCAATAAATATTGTGACGACTTTCTATTAAGTCCAACTTAAAATGGCGCCGTGTGATCAACTACGCAGATAAAATTGGCGCTCAAACTATACATCGCAACGCCATCTGCAATAATATTGTAAATTATAAAGAGGTATCTGAAAGAATTTTTTGGAATTATATGTAAATTGTATTTTTGAATTTATTTTTTTTTTATTTTAAAAAGTGTTTCTTAAATTCTCCTTGATACGTATTAATAATTTATTTGACGAAATTGTTTTTTTATAAATTATTGACTAACAAAACAAGGTTGAACGTTCTTTATGGTGCCATCTAGCGAAAGAAGCGATTACTAAACGACAACACAGAATGCAATATTGTGCATCGATATTCTTAACTACGCTGAATAAGACCGTATGTCGACTAACACAGTTCAATTAATATCTTAAGCTTACTCAGGGAATGCATTGTATGCATAATTAGATAAACAAACGAATGAAAGCTAATAAATAAAGTAGCGTTGTCGATACTTAAGCGGTAAAAGTTCAAAAATATCTAAATTCTATTTTCGTTTGCATCTCGTTGATTACTTTGACGTATTTAGGGCGTGTGTGATTCGTGTCATCGCGAAGTTTAGACGAATTTTTTTAACGGAACCAAGTATAAAAACAAAATTCATCATTATGTGCGCAAAAATGGCTTTTCAACATCAAGCGGGTACTGCGATGGAATGCCTGAGTGTGAGTTTTATCAGAATTATAATTTTGTTTATTTAAAGTATACCTATGATAGATTAATTAATTGTATAAAAATTTACATTACATATTCAAGTACTTGGCTTCTAGAATAATGTCCTTTATTTACATCTTATCTACTAAGAAGACTTTATAATCTGAAGAGAAAATGCAGAAAAGTATTATAACATTATTTCTATATATGGTTATAAAAAATGTAAAAGATACATTTATTTTTCTACAGATACCTATAACTTTACATAAAGAAACTGAAGTTAATGAGAATGGAGAAGAAGTTATGAAGTGTGGCTTTAAAATTGGAGGAGGAATAGATCAAGATTTTCGGAAAAGTCCACAAGGCTATACAGATAATGTATTATAATAATATTTTGTCAAATAATAATTATAAAGATAATAGTTATTTAAGTTCTGTAATAATGTTACCATTTCAGGGTATATATGTAACTGAAGTTCATGAAGGGTCACCAGCAGCTAAGAGCGGTCTTAGAATGCATGACAAAATTTTACAGTGCAATGGATATGATTTCACGATGGTTACTCATAAAAAAGCTGTTTCTTATATAAAGAAACATCCAGTATTAAATTTATTGGTAGCCCGCAAAGGTGTAACCAGTACTTAAGTTGGACCAAACAAAAAATAAAAGCTAATATTTATTTCATATTTCATTTTGATAAAGCTGATTCATTTGAGCATCGTGTCAGATAAATGTCAGATAATGAGCAACGGCATAAAATTCATCAAGGTCAGTGTTTTCAAGATAATGTATCAATTGATTTTATCTGTACGATAAAAAAACTTTTGACGATCAAATTTAACAATTTTTGACAATGTGAAAATTGTTTTATAATATCAATCATCATCATATGAGATGTACTAAAATCACTGAGTGACACGGTGCAATGTGATGTTTTCCGTTTTCTAAAGACTTTATTTTTGGTAACAATAATTTAGTTATATTATATAATCATGAATACTTTAATGGTTAATAAGTCTCAGTATCAGGCATAAAATTAATTAAATTTGACTGCACTGTGGATACAATATCGAGCCATTAGATCAATGCGATTATATAAACATCCTGTTATAATTTATTGTTATTGATGAAAAGTATGAATTATATGTACACTATCTGATGTGCACCATTAATGTTATTAACAGTATGAATTTGATACGTTAAAAAAACGTTAGAATTATACTATGAGTATAATGAAACAAAAAAAATTTACAAAGAATTTTAAAGAATTTTCATAACCTAAAAAGGTGCCAAATTTTCAACGTATTAAAAATTTCTTATTACTATAATTAAGTAATATACAACAAAAGTTATTATATCAAGAGATATTAATCTTATTCTACTTAATTTTATAAGTAAGACAATTATGAACACAAGTTTTGAGCATTATCTTATACAATGATCCACGATTAAAAATATGCCTGAAACAGAACAAACAAAGGCCAAAGCGTTTCAATAGAATACGAACTTAATGCATTTTTAAACAATTTTGAAATTTCTACATAAAAATTATAGTATCCCTATTATACTATGAGAGACAATTTCAAAGATCGTTTACAAGAAATATGATGGAAATACTTATAATACAATTTTATTATGACTTACAATTTTACAAGAATGTGATTAAGTAATATATGAGATTTATTAGACAAGAAATATTAGGGTGCATGTAATAGCAGAATTTCTAAGCATTTCATAAATTAAGATAACTATGTTTTTTTTTTGTAGTATAACTACATTAACACAAGAATGCTTCATAAAAAAATCAATAATTCATTTTTATTCCCAATTAAAATTTTAAAGTTTTTAATACTTTTATACGAGCATAAAAATAATGTTTTTTTACTTTACTACTAACTTCAGATACATTGCATATTATAAGTGAAAAAAAAAAAGAACAAAAGTTCCTGCACCAACGCGTGACTTCCTTTTCTATTTCCAATTATAATAGTAAAGGCACTGTAAATGCGCTGCTTCTCATTACATCATAAATATAAACTTTAAGCCATAACTGTGAAGACTAGTCTATGAACATCAGAAATATAAAAGTTCAGTCACAAACATAAAATACATTAATTATTGTATATGATACAATGTATGTGGGAAAAAACTATGTAATAGAAAGCCCATAATGCTAAAAATTAGGTCCACTATTTTGGTGACAAAGTAAAATTGATTTGTAACAAAATATTAAGATTAGTTCGCATATAATGTTATGAGAAATGTTATTCTTTAGTGTTGGCATACATACATACATACATACATACATACATACATATATATATATACATATATACATACATACATACATTCATTCATACATACATCAACATACATAAAGACCTTTTTTTAGATCTTGATGAAAGCAATTCTGTGTTGTAGATACTAACGTATATATATTGCTTACAATAAGTTTTCTATATCTATACATACAGTAATTAATACTATTATCATTCACACCTATTTATTTTTAAATATGAAATTGCTATACTTTAAGTACGAACATATACTGATATTCGTATATATATTTTTTATACATCACGATATATTTGCTTCTTTAAAGTAGAAATACTTTTCCAAAGAACCAAAATATTTGACCTGAAGTTTATGCTGGGGCAATACGACGATTTAAAAAGCCAGCTTTTAATAAACATTGTTTTTCAAAATGGTTGGCACAGTTAGTATATTTGCGAGTATGTATCATAACTCCTGATATACATGATTAAGGTACAAATACCGTGTTCTGCATAACGAATTTATAAACTTTTACATTATGATTCAATCTATTATACAACATTTCATATTGATTTATATATTTTTTATTTTGTCACACAAATTGTAGATGAATACCGTGATGTTATTAAAAAAAATACCAAAGAAATTGTTAAAAATATTTTCGTCGTTCGATACTTTCCCCGTCATCCTCTTCCGAATATTAAGTTTATTCGTAAACTACAATTTTAACGATTCTCCTAATAGACGAAAGAATAGAGAAGAGTTTTGAATTTCGCGCCAATTTCAGATAACATTAAGAAAACGAATTCCCAATTATCAGCGTCCTTAAACGTCGAATTTTAAACGCTTTCATGAAAATTCGCATTAAGTATCGCGACCAACGAAGAAGACGAATATAGCCGATTCCGATGACGTGTCAAAGACGCACCACGTGTATCGTATACATATGACACGTCGTTAATCGGTGTACTTCAGACGGAAGCGAGTGTTCAAAACGTAGTCTTAAAGTGATCCAAACGGAGTCATTTAGTGAGCTACGAAACTTCTAGTTCTTTTGTTATATATCCGTCCTATAAAGTTTTTATGCGTTAAAATATTTGACGAAAAAGAATTGGAGTTTTGCTAATTACAGAATTAATACTGTGATAAATACCTTTTCGGTGAAAAGAGCTTTAATTATCATAAATAACAATGGTGAGTGATACAATTCGAACAGAAAATTCCTTTCTTATATTTATTGATTTCAAAGAAAAGGATTTTAATAGATAAATTTTTGTTTATTTCAAGCCTGCCGCACCTAGTGCCACATCGGTTGGATCCGCGGGTCGTTCACCCAGTAAAGCTATAGCACCTAGAGCAGGTGGCAGTGGTACTGTCAGACAACGCAAAACTGCCACTGCTACTTCATCTAGAAATAGAAACACTGGTACAAGTTCTGGTGGTATGTGGAGATTTTATACAGATGATTCGCCTGGCATCAAAGTGTAAGTTACTTTTGTGTTATTCTTATTGTACTTTACAGATTGGTTATAACATATAAGTATATTTTTCAAAGAAATAAATATGCTTTTCTTCTTTATGATTATTGCTCGTATGTTTGGAATAAATATCTTTTATTGATAATTACTAAAGCTTATAAAATGAATAATATATATGTTTGTTTGTTTAGAGGTCCAGTGCCAGTACTCGTCATGTCCCTCTTGTTCATCGCATCTGTATTCATGCTTCACATTTGGGGAAAATATACCAGATCTTAAGGAAAGCGATCGTGTTAAATCACATTACGTTATAAATGAAACTTATGAGGCGGGAAAAGTTTTAAGTACATGTGTAAGATTAGCAAGAACTGTTAGAATTAATTTTTGCATACAGAGATATTTGCTTTTTTCTGAACTACACGAGGTATCATTTTTGATCTGATACATCTTGTTCGTCGAATCCATACTCCACGAAGTGTTTATTATACAATTTTTACATCTCCTATAAGTAAATCAATGATTCCATTTTGAAACATTAAACATGAGATAATAAGTTAAGTTCAATGTTCAAAGGAACGTTAATATAACATTACGTTCCTTCTTGACTCTTGTTGCAATTTATACTTAAGATATTTAATTCTTACTCGAAAACATTAATTAAATGTACAATCTATATTATCGGAATAAACATAATTTATTCTTAACTTATGTCGTACTATAATTTCGATGGGAACACTGTCTCGAATGTCACGTCCCTTTTATTCCAGAAAAAGATTTCCAAACTGTTTCGATTAAATGATCTCTAATATTAATATGCCCGATAAAAATGTACAAATTTTCTCTATGAATTAAAATGATATTCTCGTATAAATTAAAAAGTGAAAAAAAAGAAAATCAATTGCACCATCTCACAGAAAGAAAGAGATACCTCGTCCTAAGATTTCTATCATAATCTTTCAGACTCATTGTTCGTTCCATTTTGGTGTACTCGTGCGCATTATATTGATTCGTTAGTCCAATAAGCGCAGATTACTGTGCGACGGTTGCGCAAAAGAGAAAGAGAGAGAGAGAGAGAGAGGAAAAAGAAAAAAGGATAGAAAATAGGGATGGCGTAGGAGAAACGTAGGGCTCGGTCGCGCACGCTCTTGTTGACTCATATAAGTGAAAAAGAGAAAAAAAAAAGGAAAAAAACGATGATGAAGGAAGGAAGGATGGGAGGAAGATAGAGAGATAGAAAGAGAGAGAGAGAGGGAGATAGAGAAGAGAGAAAGAGTGGGTGGAAAAAAGGAAGAAAATGATGTAAGAAAAGAGGAGTGAGAAAGAGAGAGATAAAGAGAATATTGTGTAGCCCGCCGTCAATGTGCTCTCAGTTCGAAAATGTAACACGTGATCGTGGTATATCTCTCGTTTTAGACTACTCGACATTGAATTTTCACCAACGTTAGTCGTTCCTGCCTCTTCCTCCAACGCGGGTGTTGCGTCCAAAGGGAAATCCGTTGTGATGAGGCACACCTCGCGCGAGGTAAAATCTATCGTCATTCTAAGTACTTTCATTGTTATCTCATTCATCTCAGAGTCTTCTTGTCTACGACGTTTCTCTGTTTTGTTTTTTCTTTTTTTTTCTTTTTTTCTGTTCTTCTTTTTTTTTTTTTCATTCATGGTTTATATTCTCCTTCGTTCTTTCTTTTTCCAATAAAATTTTTTTTTATGTCGCACAAGTCACTTTCGAGAGAACAATTATTTTTAAGAAGAGAAAAAAAAACAAACAAAAAGAAAAAGAATAAGAAAGAAAAAATGCAATTTTTCATTAAGTCATTTGCTTTCGACTGCAACTCGACTTTCTCTCTTTCTCTCTCTTTTCCTCTCTTTCTTTTTCATCAACTTGTCCGATACTCGTCATCATCAAAAAAAAAAGAAAAAAAAAAGGAAAAAAGAAAACTATTTTCCTTCGTTTCAACGATCTCACAATATTATTCTCATTCATTCCTAACTATTTTGATTCCTGCAATGCGACGTGTGCAGACAGTACATACATATCTACGCGCGCACGGAAGTAGTGATCCGTAATTCGGCCATTTAGTAAAATATGTTCAAGCATAAAAAAAAAGTAAAAAAAAAAAAAAAAGAATAAAACCAATGCATTATTCTTAATTTCGCGCCGATATGATTATTCAAGAATGTAAATAATTGTAGTAGTATCGTCAACGAATACTGTATTATCATAAAAATGAAAGAAAAAAAAAATTATTAAAAATAATTAAAATAGTCGATGATTTCATTACGTTCTGATTAAATAATAAAAAAGAAAAGAAAGGAAAATTATATTAATAATAATATTAATAAAATGTTTCACATATCCGTAGGTAATTCGTGTTAAAGAGACAAAGATAGCGATAAGGGGGTGAAGAAGGGAGGGAGGTGGACGAGAACAAGACGGAGAAGCAGGAGGAAAGGGAAAAATGGCGGTGGATATTTTAGACGAAGATCATCTGGCCGTGAGCGCGATCGTTACGGTTGGAATGCAATTGATATTCTTCACGATTGCCGCGACGTTTCAGCTGGACAAATTGACGGATTTTGCCGGCGGCACCAACTTCATCATTCTTGCCCTTCTCACTTTCTTTCTCGGCCAAATGGGCAAGGTATACTAGAAAATGCCAGGCGCTAATTATAACCGACACTCTTCTCCTTTGCTCGCTCGAGTAAGAGAGGATGTGTAATTTATACGTGTTAATGCTCGTGGGATGATCCATGCATGCATGTAATACATAATTGTGTTAATTATTATGGGGAAAAAAAGACCTAACTGAAAAATCTAAAAAATTTTCAATTTCAAATATATATTTGTATATATTTTTCTTATATTAAAAAAAAAAAAAAAACTTATACATTATATTATTATATAAAAATATATTAAATTATAATAATAATATTATAATATATGATTATAATAAGATAAACAATTAAAAAATAAATACGATTCAGGCCAATTTTATTTTACGTATATATGTATCACGAAAAATTTCACGATAATCAAATTATTTATTAACAAGTAATGTTATATTTTTTCTCTATCACAGACCTACGACAATCGACAGCTTATGGTTACCGTATTTGTATGTTTATGGGGTGTACGACTATCAGGATATCTTCTTTATCGAATCATCAAGATCGGACGAGATAAAAGATTCGAAGATCGTCGAAGCAATGTTATTCGTTTCGCAGTTTTTTGGACCTTCCAGGTGAATTTTTTATAAAGTATACGTTTCACTAAAATAATAATAGTAATAATAATAATAATCAATATGTCGTATAGCTAATAATTTATGAATTTCTCGAAAATAGATATAGAAATGTATACCTATGTTTTATCGAAACAGGGAATGGTTATTGCCAATATTGAAAGCCAAGATTTTATTCATGACGTCTTATATTACTATATATATACTTTTTATTGATATTAGGATCATTTGCCAAGTGGGCAGAATCCCTTATTTTTCTTTACTATCGATAATCTCCATCTCTCCCTTTACTATCGATTGCTATCAATCTCTCTCGTTTTCTCTTTCTTTTTTTCTTTCCTTTCTAGGCTGTATGGGTTTATGTTGTGAGTCTACCGGTAATTATCATAAATTCGCCTCGTCACAAAATCCCACCAGCGCCAAAAACGATGACCAATTTCGACAGTGCTGGTACTGGACTCTTCCTCATTGGATTCGCGGCAGAAACCTATGCTGATTTACAAAAGTTCGCTTTTAAACAGGATCCCGTTAACAATGGGAAATGGTGTAACGACGGTAAGTAAAGTTCGATGGTTTCAAATCATTTTGATTTAATTTAATAATCAAATAATCAAATGCGAAATAGTCGAGTTTTATATAACGACCGTAATAATTACAGGACTATGGAGACTATCTAGGCATCCTAATTATTTCGGAGAGATCGTAGTATGGTGGGGTATCTTTGTAATATCCTTGAACGTGATCGAAGGAGCCGAATGGGTTGTTATCGCCTCTCCGATCTTTACAACGATCATCATCCTCTTCTTATCGGGTATGCCTTTACTGGAAAAGGCGTCGGACGAGAGATACCGAGAGTAAGTGTCTCTATTTTTATAATATCGTTTTACACTTTTATATGCCCGATAAGGTACTTCTAACTTCTTCAGAGCTATCGGTTATTGAACGAAGAGGGATTGTCTTTTTATAAATTAAAAAAAGAAAAAAGATTTAGTTAATAGAACATCTGGCTAGTACTATTTGATATTAAAAACGTATTTTAATCATTATAAAGAATCAAAAGTCTATAATATAAATATTAAGAAAAGTCTTGATATAAAATTAACTTGAAATTTGAAATTAATATTAAAACTTGAAAAATACTTCAAAAATTTTTCATTCTAATGTCGACATACATTCTATGTATATTAATGTAATTAGAGTAATATTGAAATATGTAATCGAATAACATAAATATATTGTGTAAATAGGATATATATATATATATATATATATATATATATATATATATATATATATTTATAAAATTATAAGAGTTTATATAATAGTACTAATATTAATTACTACTAGTTAATTAGCACTAGTATTAATTAAAAGGAACATGGAGTCATCTACTTCGAGCCCATATACTAAATCTTTTGTTGCATTATCCTCCTCCATCATCCTCCTTCATCATTCATTTGCTGCATCATCCGCCTCCAATTCGTACTGTTAACGAAGCATTTTTCTCTCCAGGGTGCTCTCTTTCATGTACTTATCAGTTAAGCGTCTCTATCCGGATAACATCTTTCCTTTGTGCATAATTATACAAGTTTGGTCTACAACACACTTCAATAGAATCTCACACAACATCACAATTTTTAATTCTAGGCCACCGCATATTGCAGCTTAAAATTTAACATTATTCTCCTATTCTTAATACTTCAAAAGATCAAAAATCGCAGAAATAAAAACGGTAAAGGGAATTCAACATCCTGTAGTCTTATATCCATTATTATCTTATGATACGATAATTTGCAGCTCCTTTTTGTTTTTTTTTTGTGAATCAAAAAACTGTTTATCATTTTTCGCAATTTTCAGATTAAAAACGTTCACCCTTCTTTTCTTCCTCGTGATCTTCGAAAATTTTCCGAACTTGTCAATTTTCGCCAATCCCTTTTACGATTAATACTTAATTACAAATACATGAGATTAAACGACACGAACGTAATACTTCAAAAGCAGATAGCATCGCACGACTTTCACAATTATATTAATCGAATATCTTAAATTTTGTATATTTAAATTTCGGAGCCATTTAAACCTATTAAAAAAGTGCGTCATAGATCTAATGTATGCACTA